TCTTTCCAACACCGTGTCTTTCAAAGCTCAGGCATTTAAACTTTTTAAACTGTGTGGATCAGAGTGGAGGGATCACATTTGAGTCATTCAGTGATTCAAAGAATATGACCTTTTAATATTCATTCAGATGTTTTCTGACTCTAAATGTTCTTTTCTCATTTCTTAGGGTTTTCTAATTTACATTTAAAACATTTTCAGTTTTTTTCCAACTTCTTCTTCTGTGTAACCTTCACCTTTTAGCAGTTCAGTACTTTTGTTTTCAGGTTAAATTCGGGTTTTTTTTTATCTCATTCAAAATTTTTAACTTAAATTCTGTAATTAATTCATTTCAGTGCATACATTCAGATTCAAGCATTCACACTGCAGTTTCTTCAGAAAATGCACTTTCTAGTTATTATTATTATTATTATTATTATTATTATTATTATTATTATTATTATTATTAGTAGTAGTAGTAGTAGTAGTGGTAGTACGTTCAATTTTGTTTATTACAACTTAAACTTAATAAACTTGGATTTTTGTCTCTGAATATTATCTCGCTCCTACTACATTTTTAAATTAATTAAAAAAATAATTACTGCGTGTGTTTATTTTATTTGATTATTCATTTTATGTTTTCACAACTTTAACATCGTAAATTGAACAACAATTTAACTATCGTAAAGCATTATTCCCCTCACTGAGCTATATTTTTATTTTATGATACATTTCATATATTGTGCCTTTAGTTGCATAAATCTGAATTTTTATTATCTCAGAATATTATTTCTCTGTCCAAGCACAATATTTTATTTATTTAATTATTATTATAATTATTTTATTTTACAACTTTTAGTTCACAAGTCCAGACTTTTTGAGCTACATATTAATTTGAATGCATTTTTCTTAGTCTTTATTTGTTTCCTCTTTCACGAGCTCTCTCTCTCTCTCTTTTCTTTTTTTTTACAATTAAATTAAATGTAATGTCATTTTATTTGTTCATGGGCCTAATGCCGAGTAATGAATTCCTGCTCTCTGCACGGACTGCTCTGTGACGAACTGCTTGGTGGCTCTGTAGTTTCCCAGCGGACCGTGAACGTACCTTCCGTCAGTTGGAGCTCCGCTCTGCGTCAACAGCCGCTCCGGTGAGTGTCTCTCTGTTTGTTTGTCTGTTTTTCGGGCTGTTTCGGCACGTTACCGTGAGGCAGACTGACCGACTGGGCTGCTATGCACGCGGGGGTCCGGTGAGTACACCTTTAAGGCCTCGTTACGGTTTTTATTTTAATCCGTGAGTCGCTGAGTTAAGCGAACTTGCTCAGCACCGCTAGCTTAAGTGCTATATACAAAAAGCATCGATGCGCCCATTATCGGACAGCGTTTCTCTTCTCCCTCAGCATCACTCCGTCACTCACTCAGTTTTCTGAGTTTTAAAGCGAATCCGCAGTTTCATAAATCCGTGCATTCATCTGTTTTATGTAATGAATGAAATTAGCCAGCCCTGGCCAGGCTTAGAGCAGTGGCCGATAATGGAAGCAGGGTTTCCCTCTGCAAGCGATTCCCTGATGTTTACTGAATGAGAAAGACGGATGTGTTTGGGTTTTTGGTTTTTTAGTAGTTCTCTTCTTGTCATGTGCTTTATTTCCGTGTTTTTAACACACCTGTGCCCACACTCACCCTCTTACTAATGTCAAGTAATTGGCCAGCAAACGTTAGCTGCTCAGCTAATCCTTAGCCCGATGTAGCAGCGAAACCCGAAGCTCCGCGCAAAGACGCCGCTGTCATGCATCTTTCAGACGGCGTCAGGTGACAGTCCTTAGCTCTCTAACTTAAGCCACCGCAGGTGCTCACGTATTAATGCATTAGCATGATAGGTAACATCACGTAACGTGCTATCCGCGGCTAATCCAGTGCTAGTTGTCCACAAGGCACCACCTGAGAGCAGGAGTACCTTACCTGGAAGAGTGACCTCAAGCGTACAGGTGACACTGTAAGCGGGGTGCAGGGAGAGCTGGAGGTCGGGTTAATGAGCAGAGACGCTGTTGCAGGTGTAAACTCAGGTGACTAGGGCTGCTCGATTATGGCAAAAATGATAATCACGATTATTTTCACTGAAATTGAGATCACGATTATTTGACGATATTTATTTAACCCTTTAAGACCTACTGTAGAACCAAGTCCACCAGAGCTTATATTATTTTTTTACATGCTGTAGTGCCATTTGTGGGAGCATTTCAAGTTGCTATACATCAATACAACTGTTATAGCCCATATTTTAATAATATGTATGCATTAAGTCCATAGTAATTACATAAATTGCAAAAAAGTGCAATAAACTACAAAAAAAATTGAAAATCGCTTTTGTTTTGTTTACATATATTTCTACTTGGAGAAATTTAAGAGGTTTATCCCTCAAAACTTTAAATACAATAAAGTTGCAAAAAAATAGTTTCCCACCACAGGAAATTTATTTTAAGTGTCTTCATAGTTTTATTTTGGAGATACACCAATTTTTATATACTGCAGGAAAAACAAAAAAACAATCCTATGATGCAAATTTGCAAAGAAAACAGCATGTGCATCATTTCACTGTGGGAAGTGTTACGAACAGCTGATAGGAACGGCAAAGCGTGTTTCTGGAATATTATGTTTTTGTTCCTGCAAGCCTTTTTATGCAATTTTTGCAAAGCTATATGTGGAACGAAACCGTGACCGAGGACAAGCTGATGGCATCAGATGTAAGTACAGCTCCTCCGGTTTCATATGCAAAACAAATTATTGCGCTAGCTTACACGGTTCAGGTTCTACAGGGATTTAAAAATAGTTACGCAAAACTGAGCGTGCTGCTCTGACCGGCTTTAAAGGGTTAACAATGACTTAAAAAAAATAATATAAAATAGTGCGCAACACCACTGAAGTTTTTTGTTTTTTTTTAAACTCTTTTCAACCAACGGCAGTCACTCTCCTCTCCAAATAACTTCTGCTTAGCTTTCCGAGCTTCCCTCGGGTCCTCTTAATCAGCGGTCTCCACCCTTTTTTGCGCCACGGACGGTTTATGCCCGACAATATTTTCACAGACGGCCTTTAAGGTGTCGCGGATAAATGAGGGAGGGGCTAATAATCGGCTCAGTCATTTTTAATGATCGTTGAAAGTCCAGATCGTAATCGTGATTAAAATTCGATTAATTGAGCAGCCCTACAGGTGACATTTGTGCACATGCTGCACAAATATCACTGAGCTTGGTATCAGGTTTCTCTGAAGTACTACAGTGTGTCAGGACCACTGAAGGTAAGAAGAGGAAACCCCAGGGCTCAGAAAAAATAAAAACCTGGCAGATTAATGAGAAAAAAACAGTACAAATAAAGAAGAAAACACCTGCCACATTTATGGCAAGAGATGAGGAAAATTATCAGGAAAAGCTGGCAAATTTTCAAAGAAAAAATGGTACATCTAGGAGGAAATTTTATGAGAATAAACTGGCAAATTTCCAAGTGAAAAAATTGTGACAAAAAAGTGAAAAAAATTGCAATTTTGTGGGCAAAATAGGAAAATTTACGAGACAAACTGGCCAAAAAACCCCAAATAAGTATATCTGCAATAAAAAAAATCTATGAAGAAAAGCTGCCAACTTCACACAGAGAAAGTGAAACGATTAAAAAAAAAAATCTAAATTTGCTGCTTAAATAAATTTATAAGCGAAACCCTGTAAATTCACTAGAAAAAAGTTCAATTTTTGGAAAAAAAAAATCACATTTCCAATTTTAGGAAAAAAAGAAGCTGGAAATGATTTATTTTTAAATTGCCAAATAATTAAAAAAAAATTAAAATGTAGTAAAATGTGTGAATAATTACCAGTAAATGAATGCAAACTGACCTCCCTTTGCACTTTATATATCGAGGGGTAAGTATAAGAATCTCCAGGCTTAATCCTATTATTGAACAGACCCCAAAAGGATTTTAACGTCTGGCTTGTTCTGCTCAGTCTTTAAATCCTGATAATTCAGTTGATACATCTAATTATGGGAACAACCATTACCTGTACACATCTGTAAGCACACAGAAGTTTCTGTCAGGCCTGGTTGTCGTATGTTTGGTGAAGCAGGTATTCCTCCAATGACTGTCTGTGTCACGCTCTTATTTTTTGGAGATGTATTAAAGGATGCCGTTCACCTGCTCTTCTCTGTGTTAAATGATAAATGCTGGTCAGTGCCACAGAGCCCCGACACCTTTATTTTGACCCATTTGTCACCATAATCCGTTGATGGTGAGCTTTTCATTGTTGTGGTCAGTCGAGCTGTTTGGGATTCGTGTAAACGCTGCCTGCTGAGACACAGGATGAGCCTTCATCGGCCGGCCCGAGTAACCAGATCCTTGCGCGACGTGTCGGGTTACCACGCCAAGCTCTGTAGGACTGGTCTCTATGGCGACAGGCAGGCAGGGAAGAGGAGTCAGGTTGTTTTTAATGAAGGTGGGGTTTCACCTGTGTGTGTTGATGTCCATCACCATGTGTCATACATCCTGGATGAGTTTTTGCCGATGTGTTTTTCTAGCGGCACACTGTCAGACGTGAGCTGTCTTTCTTTCTTTCTTTCTTTCTTTCTTTCTTTCTTTCTTTCTTTCTTTCTTTCTTTCTTTCTTTCTTTCTTTTATATTAATATTTTATGGGATAAATAATTAAACCAAAATACCTTAAATGATCTAAAATCAGCATCTTTCACAGTATTTGATTGTTTTAACTCTCTTTGTTGGTCGGAAGTTGTGATTGGTTTGTGGAATTTGGCTCTTTAACCTCAGACAGATATATCATAATCTGACATTACTTGCTGATTTCCGTGCCCCTAGTTTGAAACCACAAACCTCCTCAACAAACCGCACAAGAGGAAACAGGAGATTCATTCATATCAGGTATCATCAGCAGTTTTTTGTAGTCTGATGTCTGATTGGCCTTGAATGCAACATTAATGCCTGCTGTCAGCTGCATTCCAGCATCAGTGAAACTCGGACCAAACAATGACACAACTCAACGTTAACAGAGTCCGAGACACGGCGTCACAGCTGAGGATCATTTCCCAGCATGCCTCACTGCGGCGGGAACAAAACCCCTAATCAGGCCTAATGACGGGCGCAGAAGAAGAGATGACATGATGATACTGACGGAGAAACAAAGTACTCACTCAGCATGCTCTTAAAATACAGCGAGGGAGTGACAGCAGCTTTATTTGTCCTTAAGTCTCTCTTTGTGTTTACATTCATCAGAGGAGGACACACCCACTGAACACACACACACCAGGTGGAGCAGGTGTGACCGGTGTGCTGTTCAGCCACTCTGCTGAGGTATGCAAAGCAAAGGAGAGAGACAAAGAAGTAATTAATTACTTTGAGAGCACATCACGGTGATGCTGGTTAATGATATAGTAACTCGGGTATGAAGTTTCAGAGGGAACTTCTTGCCTGCCTGCTGAACTTTGACTCCAGCCTTCATGAGTAGGGATGGGTATCGTTTAGGTTTTATCCGATACCAGTACCAAACCGGTACTTTTGAAACGGTGCCGGTGCTTAAACGGTGCTCGAACCGGTGCTTAAAGAATGAAGAACACAAACTTTGTCCAAAAACCTCTTATGTTTAGCTGTTTTTTTTGTAAAAAGATAACAATGTTAGCCTTTTCTGCAGCTATAGGGCATATATGGTATCACTCTTGGCTGGAAGCAGTGCTTAATCAATGGAAAAAACACCAATTTTGTCTAAGTGTTTAGCCGTTTCCCACTTTTTCTTTGGTCATTTCAGCCTTTTTGGCCAGGGTGAAGGGAGTATCTGCCATCAAACAAGAAGACAGCCGCATGTAACTACGACGATGTTTGCTAGTTCACCTTATGTGCATTAATGTAAGAACGTGGTTAGCCTACTCAACGTAAATTACACACGAACAACATTAAGCTACTCACGCAGAGAAGAACGGCTGCTGCTGCCATCATCATCCGTCATCATTTCTGCTACACTGGCAGGGCTAGGGGCCAGGACTCTCGTCTTCGGGTTCTTGGGGGATGTTGCTAACTCCGGGTCCGATAACAGGCACCACACCCGCAGTAGATGTGCACGGTGTGAGGTCTCGCAGCAAGCTATCAAATACGGCGCATTTCTCGGCTTTTAACAAAATGCCATACGTTGCCAGGTGTTTCATCAGATTCGAGGTGTTACCTCCTTTGCACAGTATCAGCGTAAAGCACTTGTTGTTGGCTGCTGAGTTTGCATCTTTTGCTGTGAAGTACAGCCAGACTTTTGACCGCTTCGCCTTGGGCATTTTTAATCTGTAGCTCTGCTCTAAAAGAACGTACGTACCTGGGCCCGCCTACTACGCTTGCAAAGGTAAAATGATTGGCTAGAATCCAAAGTGTATGACATCTCAGGAAAAAAAGCACCGAAATAAAGCACCAGAATGTGCGCTGCTTTTCGGTCTGGTTACTACAGTTTATGTCAGCACCGGTTCTGACATACCCATACAGTTCTGATACCGGTACCCATCCCTATTCATGAGCTGTACATTAACTTTGGGCAGTTTGTGGAGGAAATGCAGTAATAACTCCACATTACTGGAAGATAAGGGAGCTGCATGGGTTAAACTTGCAAGAGGCCCACCTCGTGCCCGCTCCCTACTTGAAAACGGCAAGTTCAGGTGGACTTTGTATCATAGTGCTGGCAGATGAAAGACGAACTAATGTCTAACCGGAAGATGTTTGAAATACAGTGCTGTTTTTCTTTGGTGGTGGTGTTTTGGCTTGTTGAGCTTGGTGTGTGAAGTCTTGTTGGTCCTTGCTACCATTTCTAGCTCAGAGATTTAAAGATTAGCAAGCTTTAAAATATGAGTTTTCTGTTTGGACTTGGCACCAATGTGTTGGTGCCAAAAACTGCAGTTCCTCTAACGGCCACTTGAGGTTGCCTCCAAGGTTAAAATGTCCTGTTTATCGCAGTGAAGCAGCAGTGCTACTGCCATCAGACCAGGCTCAGAGGGACGAGGTGCAGGATTGACACATACAGTCAAGTAATTGTAATGCTTCCTGATGAGGAAGACTAAAATTTCACTCACCAAAATGCAGGACGCCTCATTACTAGCCAGATAATCCAGTATGAAAAGTGCCAACAGCACAAACAGTCCAGAGGTCGAGTTCAGGGACTGTCAGTTAGACAGCCTTCAGCCTGTGGTAGCACATTTGTACCACCTGCTTTAACATCGGAGTCTATGGGAACTGACTCAGCATTGGAGGCGGCCTCAAGTGGATGTCAGAGGAACTGCAGTTTTTACTCCTAAGCCTGAAGGCTGATGGTGTCCTGTCATAACCCGGGCGGGCAGCGATGACTCAAGATTGGTGTAGGAGCGTCTACTAGAAATCTTAGGCAAGCTGAAACTCATGGACATTGACCTCAAGGTCAGAGATCAAGTTTACTGAAAATCTTGTGAACACACATTGCTGTATATAGACGTTTGAGGAATAACAGTCCATGACGTGGGGTCATGTGTCTGGTCATGACAGTGCAGGGACTGAGAGAGCAGTCAGACATTAAGGATGAGTAAATTATGTTTGCTTCACAGGTGTACTTCAGCCTAATGTCTCCCTGGCAGCCATCAGTATTTTTGGCAGTTTGGCTTTATTTTCTACCAGTGCAGTGAGCTTGGTGTTTTTATTGGTGTGAAACCTGCAACAAAGACAAAAGGGGACAGAGCCTTTCAGTCTGTTGCACCAAGGCTGTGGAACAGTTTACCACTACAATTACGTTTGCTTGACTCTGTGGATTCTTTTAAAAAACAGTTAAAAAACTCTTCTGTTCAAACAAGCCTTTTGTTGATCTACATATTTTTTATATATATATATATATATTTATTTATTTATTTTTTTACATTATTTACATTTGATCTTTTACATTGTATATAATGGCTATTGATTTTATTGTTTATTTTAATATTTGTGTACAGCGCTTTGTGATTGCCTGTCTGTGAAAAGCACTTAATAAATAAAGTTTACTTACTTACTTACTTACTAACTAATGCTCAGTGGAGAAAGGGAAATCATTTTAAAAAAGCTTCAGTTTAAATTAAAAGGCGTTATTGTGAGTTATTGTGTGGATACGTCTCAATTAGGGATGGAAACACTGGCTTCGAAATCCAAGAGAGTGTCCCACTGAGCTCCTGTGCTGTCATGCTGAAACCATGAGTGATGTCTGTACACTGTGTTCAGACCTGGAGTTTAATGAAAACTGTGCAGGAATCAATAAAACGACGATTATAATGTTTCTTAAGAAACTGAAAAACACACAAACCCTCCTTGAAATCAGCAGTTCAGCAGCCTGACAGGTGAAGTCTGGGGCAAAGACATCTCCTGTTTCCGCCTGTGAGATTAATTACTGTTGAAATTTCTGCCCACTCAGCTCGGCTCTCATTTAAGGTTTGGAATCCGGACAGTAAAACGGTAAATGCAGGGATCGCCTCATTCTCTCTAAATGTTACGAGTCAGCATCCATAAACTAGCTAATGTTAGCTCACCTGGAGCTGCTGCTGGCTCAGGCAAGTCTTGGACTGCAAAAAGTGCCTGAGCTCTTGCTACCTCCAGTTTTTTTTTTCTTTGAGGAGTAGTAGGGGTTCATTTAAGGATTTTAAAAATACCATTAAAAATAAAGGCATTTAGTGGATATTTAAAAGACAGAGTGACTTCTAAGCCTGATGATCTTTAGGATCGGTTACCAAGACAAATATTTTAAACTCACTCACAGCAGAAAGTAAAACTAACCTGTCTCTGTGCCTCTTTCCCTGTTTTTCAGGTACAGGACAGTCTTTTCCTGTTGGCGTGTGCTGAGTCACTCCTTCACCTGAGTTTTACTGACTGCCTGTCCTTGGGCCTCCACTGAACCTCCAGATTTCTCCATCCACAGCTGCACCATGGTACAGTGAACAGAAAACAATTTGAGATCTGAGACACTTTCACCGAGCGTGTTAGCCTGTTTAAAAAAAACCCAAATAATTTTTTTTATTTTATTATTTCTTCAGGTCATCAAACAGCCGTTAATAAGGTCTAAGGCTGTTTCTGCTGTGAGCACCATGCAGATTTTGTTTCCTCATTAATCTGCTGAAAAGGCTTCTCTGTGCTCACCTTAAGTTTAACACCTCTGAATTTAACACCTGAACTCACCTGCAAGAGTTTGACAGTTTCAGGGTTTCACATGAAAAATAATCACAAGATTAAAACACACTGATGTTTTCTTTAATTCTGAGGTGGTGATTTGAATTATGCATGCCGCAGTACTCTATGTGTCCAGCTGGGGCAGCAAACAGAGTGCCAGACTGTTACTTTTTTTTTCTTTTTTTTTTTGCGGGTAGATGGTATTTTATTTTGTGGGGGTGTAGTCGTGAACCTGTTTGCAGGAGCACATACAGAATCAGCTGAATTTCAGACCACCACTGCCTCTTACAAGCTTCGCATAAACTGGACATAAAGGATCCATTTGAAAGACTTTTGTATTTGTCTGCGTTAACGAGAAACTTTTTAATTGCAAACTTGCAGCGAGTAGAGCGCTGACGGCTGCTAATTCACCAACAAACATCTTTTGAAGCCTGTTTTTTGGGTCCCCCCCGCTGTTAGTCACCAATTCTCCATCTGCAGTCTACTGAAGCGAGACTGCTGCAGCTTTCACACGACTCACGGCTCTGTGTGTGTGTGTCTGTTCAGAGTGTATGATGTCTGAGAGCAGTTGCTATGGCCTGCAGCAGCGGTCAGAACAATGCAGAGACTCTGGAGGGGTTCCACGAGGTGAATCTGGCCTCGCCCACCACACCTGACCTTCAGGTAAGGTCGGAGCTCCAGCCGTTCCCGTTAGCTCCCTGCATGCTTCACGTTTCAGGAGGTCCACTCTCGTAGTTCATCGTTCATCGGGTATAAAAATGTTTTTGTTTTTAGAAATCTGCGCAGCCTCCAAGTCTTCTCTTGTGCATGATTTAAAAAAAAAAAAACAAAAAACAACCCTTCGCTGTCGAGGATTTTTTTGTGTCCTGTGTGGAAGAGTTCATTGTGTGTTTGTGCGTGAAGATGAAATATCATAAACTCACTGTTCTGGAATTTGTGTCACCCTGACTGCTTGTGTTTGCCCTGCAGAACCAATCGGATCAGCGCCCGGCCATCCGTCACACCACCCCGCCCACTTCTCTATATCGCACCCACTCTCTGGGAGCGCCTCCTCCGGGCCTCCCCACCTCACTGCGAGCAGATCAGCTGCCCACTCAGCCGGTGTACTCGGCACCGCGGCACAGCCACAATGGAAGGTAACAAAAACACAGGCGCCTGCACCCAATCAATGAGCCGTAATCCGTAACTCACCCGTGCTGTTTCCCCGCACAGCGTGCCAGGCCTGGAGGCAGAGTCGGCCGAGTTCATGTCCGGAGAGGATGGGGAGGAGTGTGGTGCTCTGAGCGACAGCCTGTCACGGCTGCGCAGCCCGTCGGTGATGGAGGTCCGAGAGAAAGGATATGAGAGGCTGAAGGAGGAGCTCGCCAAGGCTCAGAGGGTAGGGTGCGCTCACTTAGGGTTATGTCTTCATCACGCAGAAGACATCACAACGTCAGCTTCCCCCAGACTAATCTGACCTGAAAGTGACCTAATCATGACTTTAACTCAAGTTCTCGTGTTTTTAAGCTTTGAAGGAACCGTTCACCCCAAACTCAGGGATGCTTTTGTCAGGAGAGACAAAAGAAATAAGATCAAGAGCAGAGACATGAGAGAGGACAGAAAAAAGATGAAAGAAATCATTTAAAGATGGGCAGTCTTCAGAAATTATGAAACCGTAATTCAAGAAATAAATACAATAAAATCCACAGACGTCTGCTTTGGCACTTTCATTAGGATTTATTTTATTTCTACCAGATCTTAGCCACAGTGCAGGAGGCAGTGCCCGTTTACTGTGACGACAGGATGTAAACAATGATCACGTCTTGCCTCAGCTGAGCTGTAATTTACTGTGTGCTTCTTCAGACTGGAAATAAAAAAGAAAATAGTTCCTGGAGGAATGTTTGAGGTTTTTCTGAGTAACTGAGGGACGTTACTGCCACGCAACAAGACGAATGTTACTGCGTTCCTTTATGTTTGTGTGTGTGTATTTGTGTGTGTGTATTCACTACATCTCACCACAGCGTTCATTACTTTAGAGCGATATCGTGTAATTTTCAGAGTTTTATTTAAAAGCATGTTTTAAATGATTTTTTGCGTTAAACATGTTTCACTTATTTTAATTTCTTCATCTCTTTGTTCGTTTGTCGACATGCTTTCATTTCCACATGTTCATTTGGTTGTCTTTCTATTGTGTTGCTGTGCGTGTGTGTGTGTGGAAGGAGCTGCTGTTGAAGGATGAGGAGTGTGAGAGGTTGTCTAAAGTCAGAGATCAGCTCGGCCAGGAGCTGGAGGAGCTCACCGCCAGTCTCTTCCAGGTCGGTCCACCTACCCTACGTCTGTGTCCTCTACTTCCTGTTTCCTTTCCTCCTCTTCCTCCTGAGGCACCGGACAGAAAGAATATGAGTGATTGACACAGGCAGTGTGAAAGAGGTGTGACGGGTTTAACAAAGCTTTTAGGTGAACTCTAAACATTTAGTTTTGTCACCCATCAGGCATCGCAAGTTTCCTCTAAATATGGGCAGATAATTGAATTTGATGAGAATAAAGTTAAATTATCATTTTTGTTCAGTCTAGCTTTTGTGTTGTATTATGTTAAAAATGAAGTGCAGCCTTTTTGCCTAACAACAGATAGCCCTGCTGAAAAGCTCAAACTCGACCACAGATCGAGGCACAATGCTAAAAACCTAAGAATGTTTCCACGAGTGTCTCCTGTGACATGTGAGGTCCAGAGCCGATGTGTCTGTGCTGAATGAATCTGTCCGGCGAGCCCTGAAAACGTGCTGCTCCAACTCCTCTTCCTCCGTGCTCTCGTTCACTCTTGGCTTTCTCTTGCAGGAGGTGTTGGGACTCTGTGTGCTTGTGCGTGTCTGTAAATGCAGATTACCTTTATGTTCCTGTTCTGTGTTTTTGAGTTTATTTATGATATTTCAGTTGCACTGAGCTCGTTTAGCTGCTGATTCACCGTCTGTGTGTTTTCCAGGAGGCTCACAAAATGGTGAGAGAAGCAAACGTCAAACAGGCAAATGCTGAAAAACAGCTGAAAGAAGCTCTGGGCAAGGTGAGACCTCACCACTCCACATCAGACCAGACTGTTTACCTGCTTACTCTGAGGATTTCTGTTTCTTTCTTCAGATCGACGTCCTCCAGGCGGAGGTTCAGGCTCTGAAGACTCTCGTGCTCTCCTCCCCGACCTCCCCGGTGGGTGAGCTTCCCTCTGTGGGAACAGGAGGAGGCGTGAAGACTCCCTTCAGGAAGGGCCACAGCAGGAACAAGAGCACCTCCTCCGCCATGCTGGGGACTCAGCCCGACCCGTCGGCCACGCAGCCCATTGTACGCGAGTGTCGGGAGGTAAGAGGTGCAGCAGGAGGAGGAGTGCTCACGCTCCCAGAGCTTTTTCTTTAACAGCCGATGATGAGACTGCATGTAGTTTCTGACTTGCAGGTGGACGGTCAGCTGTTCAGCGAGTTCAAGGCATGGAAGGAGGAGCCGACGTTCGACCGAAGCTGCAGCTTTCTGGAGAGAATTTACCGTGAGGACATCTACCCCTGCTTGACCTTCAACAAGAGCGAGGTACATGACGACCTCCCGAACTCTTAAAAGCGCTTTATTAGGAGTAGAAAGACATGCAAACATGCACCCATCTGAGATTTCAGCACTGATATTATCATTTCAGTTTTTTTTGTTGTGAAGGTCAAAATGTTTAGAAGGTTTAAAACTTCTGATCTGATCTCACAAACTCAGTCACTGTTTAGCTCAGATGATTAAAAGATGTTAGGTTTCTGTAGACAAAGCTGCAAAAAGTTCGTTAAAGGTGCGTGCATCTGCCTTCTGGGGACACTGTTGCCTCACAGTAAGAAGATTTGAGCGTGAGTGGGTGGCGACCTGGCAAGGCGTGCCCCGTGCTCGCCCTCTGCCAGCTGGAAAAGGCTTCACCCGGTTTGTCTCGGTATGCGTTTGATTTGATTGTTTAAAAAAGTGCAGTTGACAAATGTGCAGGGTTTAGAAAATCCCAGGGAAAAGCCGGGGCCGCTCTGAGTCCCCTGGAGATGCATGTTGACATGAATCAGAAAGATTCTGATACCTCCTGTGTCCGTTAATGCCCTCCTCTCCTCTCCCCCAGCTGGGTTCGGCCATCTTAGAGGCCGTGGAGCAGAACACACTGAGTGTGGAACCGGTCGGCTTCCAGCCGCTGCCTGTGGTCAAAGCATCGGCGGTGGAGTGTGGAGGACCAAAGTGAGCACGTGCACACACTTGAATTCAAACACACGCACACACTTTCTCCCCTGCATTGAGCTTTCACTCCTTCATCATCACATCTCCATCTTCCGATTTCCTCCTCTAGTGGGCGCAGGTCTGAGCTCGTCACGTAAGTCTGACACTCTCCCCCATTAGCTTTTTCCCTTTCTTTAGCCTCTCCTCAGTTGCTCCCCACCTTCATCCGGCTCTTCCAAACCCTCCTGCTAACTTATTCCCTCCTTCTAAACTTCTGTTCAGGATGTCAAAGCCATCCTGTCGTCCTCTTCTCCTCCTTTGCTGCCTCAAGCCGTGTTAGTTTTGCTCCTGTGTAGTTTCTGCTTTGTAGGAGTTTTTTTGTTTCTTCCTGTTAAAGTAACAGCTAACTCATGTTTTTTTTTTTCTTTGTTTGTTTTTGTTTATGTCCATCTGGTAGAAAATGTGCCCTGAGCGGTCAGACCAAAACCTGCAAGCACAGAATCAAGTTTGGAGATTCGTCCAGCTATTACTACGTGTCTCCCTACTGTAGATACAGAGTGAGTGTAACACCCAGCCATCCACTCACACCTGAAAGCTTTACCTCCCCTTTATGTCCGGTCCATCTTTCCTGAGCCAGAACATTTTCTAAATTACTCCAAAGCTCAGTGAGCACTAAAACAATCCTGCCAGCTTCTTCCACCATCACTGTAAAAGTAAGAAAACAACTCTGGAGGTGATTCAGTGCATGTTACTGCACTTCTGCATGAGCAGTCCCTCTGCATGAGGATAAGAATGAAGAGCTTTCAGAATGACTAAATAAAGCAGCCATGCCTCTAACTTTAAGTCTTACACTTGTTATAAAGGATGAAACTATCCAGAGACACAAACTGTTTTCTCTAAATGTGTTTATTTATTCTTCAAAGTTTTAACTTGGAGCCTCAAGTGAATGTCACAGGAGCTGTAGTTAGAAACCTCCCTCCATGATTTTTATTTTTTTTAAGTGTTTTTTTTTAAATGTAAATGAGAAATTAGAACATAAATCTGAATACTTTAAATCGTCTAAATGAACAGAAACCTAAGTTTTAGCAAAATCACTAAGCTTATAGTTCAGCATGTAATCCTGTCCTCACATTAAACATAAGGAATAAATACGTTAAGTCTATAACTCTTTGTAGCTTTGCATGACTTCACCTGAAGCTCAGAAACTGTTGACTGGTGTTTTCAGCAGTGTCCTCTCTCCTTCAGATCACGGCGGTGTGCAACTTCTTCACCTATATCCGCTACATCCACCAAGGGCTGGTCAAACAGCAGGACGGTAAGAAACGCGCCAGTGGATTCTTGTGGTGGCTCGATATCAGTGTGATTAAACTCCCTGCCTCCCTCTGTGTTTGCAGCAGAACAGATGTTCTGGGAGGTGATGCAGCTCCGCAGGGAAATGTCCCTCGCCAAGCTTGGCTACTACAAAGACCAGCTGTGACCGGGGCCGTCCTCCACTCACAGCAGAGTCTGAGCTGAAGCCCCGCCCCACCCTGGCTCTTGCCCCTCCCCCTTATTTTGTGTGAGTGTTTTTTGTGTGAGAGAGAAACTGTTTTCAATCATCACAAAAAAAGACTGAAGACTGTGATTTTGGTGCCGGTGGTCATTACTGATCTGGACTTCTTTGGGTTCTGAAACATGCAACACTCCAGTGTGTCAGAAAACTGACATGTTTCTAAAAAAATAACACTACAGACTGTTTGGTCATCAGTTACATGTGATCTCTGGAGAGATGCATGTGGGTTTTGAAGCCTCAAAGCGAGAAAAATATCAAAAATAGGTGTTAGAAAGAAATATGAGAATATCTGATAAAAGTCATATTTCAAGGGTGAAGTTGAACCGTAGAATAAAGTCATTGTTTTAAGAGGAAGAAAGTTGTAAACAGAATCACAGAAACTGTGGAAAAATAACCCCTTTTGTTTCCTGTTGTGGAGACGTCTGTGGCACCTAAAGTGGACGTTCGAGGAACTGCAGGTCGTGCTGCGCTTCCAGGTTGGCTTCATTTTCCTGCTAGTTAACAGGACACATCTTCCTTTTTCTTTAGGATGATTTTTCAAAATAAACCGCCATTCATAACAGAAACCGTCATTATGGATTTATGTGTGGTGGCTTTCAAAGCAGACTTCACTTTCACCTTAAATACTACATGAAAATATTATTTCAGCAGTAAAGCTTTAGTAAAACTGCAGCTGTTTAAAATGTAAACAATTTAGAATATTTGGGTATATATATTTATAAAACTCATCGCAGGGAACAAGTGACAGCTGATGTGACAACGTCTCAGCTGAAGAATTCAGAATTACAATTCTTCATTTTTACAACCTAAATTTTGAATATTTTTTCTGTAAATGTTGAATTTAAAATAAATTCATGACTTATTCTTAGTTATAATCCTTTAAATTATGTATTTACGTTCCTGCAATTTCAGCTTTACTTAGTCAAATTAAAATGAACAATTTTTTCAACCTCCAAATTTTGACAATGTAATAATTAATGTTAAATTAACATGAATTTGAGTATTTTTACTTATTCTTGTCAATCTTTCATTATTCATATATCAAAAATTACAGAGTTTTTTTTCCTCATGTGAAACACTAAGTTGACTCACTCTTAGCACTTTGATTTTTCTCCATTGAAATTCTGCTCTCAGAATGTTTTTTTATTTTCAAACAACTTAAAATTGTTTTCCAGACTTTACATCAAGTTATTGAGCTCTTTAATCACCAAATTTTGGGGCTTCTTGGGGTTTTTTGGGTCTGAAAAGTCTGAGAAATGTCAAATTTTGAGTTAAAGTAATTATAGCTTTGCTACAATACACTTTCCTCCACTGTTGGCGAGTCTATCATATATTTTCAGAGAGGGGAAAAAAGGTCAAGTTGTTATTATTTAGTAAACTTTGAATAAGCTTGTATTTTGAGTTAATTTAGAGGTCTCGATGATGGCAGAGTGGGATACAGTGTTTTTGCTTTTTACTTACAGAAAAAAGCTGCAGAAATAATCGAACATGTATCTGCAGGAGGAAGGACTTGATGTCGGCTCTTTGAGTTTCTGAGGGTTTTTGTTTTGTTGCTGGACATTAACATATCCTGCTGTGAAACAGGGCGCTCTGCAGCGAGCTCCGTGTGACCAATCAGGACTCGTGTAGATAATAAGCTGTGTGTGTGTGTGTGTGTGTGTGTGTGTGTGTGTGTGTGTGTGTGTGTGTGTGTGTGTGTGTGCGTGCGCGCGCACCTGCTGTTCTGTAAACTTTATATATATATTAATTTAATCCTGACGTCTCTCTCTCTCTCTCACCTGTTCATAGTCAATGTCACTCTCCCGGTTTGGTTTAGTGCCTTCTCTCTCAGACACTGAAATAAAAACAGTAATACCTCTGAAAATGATCCGTGGACTCCTCCACATTTTCTCTTCTTCGACTGAACTTTTACACGGCTGCATATTAACGACCGACCTTGCCTCCTCAAACGTACCCTCATGTCTCCGCCCACCGCGGATCCTCAACCTGAACTTTTGAGAGCAGTTTAACCTTAATGCTCCATCTTCCCTCTGCTGCTGTGTTCATATTCATCTAATCACAGCTCTGCAGACACCGTCACCAACCTTCCACCCTGCTGCCAGTTTTCTTTGTTTACGTCAAAATTACACCAGTTTCATTTCCTGATTTTATTTTATTTTTTTCACTAAATGGCAGAAACGTCATCTCATCTAAAACAAATCAGTCACATCCAGACTGAGGGGTTGGCAGTGAAGTTTAATACATCCATGGCCTCCTGAACATGTCATGTTTAAAAACACAGTGGCTTTGAGCTGATGGTGTGGGTGCAGCTGATGGTGCAGGTGTGGCTCAGTTATTAAAACCTGTCTTTTTTTGTTTTGTTTAAAAAAAAAAAAAAAAAAATGATGTTGGTCTCAGATGTTTAGTCAATGTTTGAATAACACTAATTCAGGCAGCCAGCAGGTCATAAAACAGGCAGACAACTGTGAACTTTGCTTTTTAGTGTCAGTCTATCGAGGCCACGCACCCCAGGCCAGCCCCGGCAGGATGAGCGCGATGAGGACAGAGGAGAACAGGTTGACTGCGTTGTTGTCTAAGATGGGTTTCCCGCAGATCCACTGGGTGGTGGCGGAGCTGTAGCTCACCACCTTCCCGATGCTCGCGTCAAAGCCTGAGGGGACACAGGAGAAAAGTCAGAAAATCTCTGCGTGTCACTGCACGAAAGGAAATCCCAGCTGCAGAAAACGTTACCAAAAAATTAAACTCTTTCTTTTCTTTTTTTTAAATTTTTTATTAGTCTGCAGATGCGGTTTACTTGTTTCAGTCAAGCTAAACAGGGACTGAGGTTTAGGAGAGCCCCTCTGAAGCTATGTTTTAATTCTGTTTAATTTTTAGTGAAATAAGTTTGAACTCCATGAGCTGGGATTTGAAGTAAAAGCTGCTTGATCTCTGAGGGCCGCTGAGTTCAATGGTTCAACTTCACTATTATAGGGAAAGAAACTGCAGAACTTCACTCTAACTGGGCATGTTTAATACTCTAAAAGGAAGCCACTCACTGTTCTCCTGCTTCCTCTGATCTCCGTATGAACGTCAAGCTTCAGCATCAGATTCAGTTCAATCTTATTTTTTACAGCAGCAAATCATCGAGGAGCTTCACATTGTGAGGTAAAAACCCAACAATCAGACGACACCATATGAGCAGGCACTTTGGCAACAGCGGAAAGGAAAAATCCTTACATCTGATTTATAATCAGCTCAAACTGAACTTTAATCTCATCTCTGTAACTCAGCAGTCAGACTGCAAACATTTGCTGTACGTTGCTGAGAATTGGTGTTTAAATCAAACTGATCTGTGTAAAGCTTCAGACACTGATCAATCATTGATCATGTTGTAACTGATCACACTGATGAAAAACATCTGTTGCAGCTGGATCTTGGAGATTATTGGAACAATTGAGTGAAGATGAGGCTGAAATGGAACTAAATGGATTTTAAGGGCATTTTTAAAAGAGGCTGGTTGTAATCTGATTACATTTCATATTGAAATGTGAGCCCGGATTGAGATTCAGTCAGTAAATGATGTCAAACAACATTTTAAAGGTTCAAAGTATGAACGCGACATCTGAATCTGTCTGACACATCTGGGTTTGCGAGACAGAATCCGAGGCTGTGTGGCAGATCAGGAAGTTTCTCTACGTATGCAAACACTTAACAACATTCACATGAGATCTGGCTCAAACCCACCTGAGTACTGCATGTGCGCCCCCAGGAAAGAGTCCAGCATGGACCCGAGCAGGCCGGCCACGCCGCCGTACACGACGATCGGCCACTGGGGGTCGGCCAGGTGGAGGTCGCTGACTGTTAGCAACTGCGTCACAAAGTAAGCCACACCCACTGCTGCCCCACCGAGGAAGCTGGCAACCAATCCTATGGGAGTAACGCCTCCGTTTGTTCCTGCAGGGGGAAAAAAGCCCCAGAAAAATGAGGCAACTTATCTAAAAATGATTTTCAGCGCAAAAGGATGCATGATTAGGTCAACTGAAATCTAAAAAAATGATTTCATGTTTTGTTTACTGCTGATCTTCTGTACCTACAGCCTTTTAATGAGATGCCACACAGCATGAAAAGAAGTGTTCATCTGTGGACTCTCTTCAGATAAATCAATGTGACAAGTCACATTATTAATGAAGCTCACAATCACGCCTCCTCGTCCTGATGAACGGTTGTGAAAATCTAATCTGTGTGTTTGGCTTCATGGAAAAGAGTCAATTCTCAGGAGTCCTGAGCTTCACAACTTTAAAAAAAACCCAGTCTGATCTGAACTGTGCTGTGGGACTTTTCCCCTCTTTAACACAAAGTGGAACATTCACATCATTACCCCACCCTCTTACTGGCTCCTCACCTGTGGGGACTTCCTTCCAAGTGGTTATGAGTCTCGGCTTTGATAGGCTGAGGACTGGCCCCACCTCAGATGCCCAGGTGTCCCCGGTACTGCATGCGAGCGCGCCCAGTAGGGAGAGGCACATCCAGGAGGCAGAGTACTGCTTATTGAAATCGATGGGGATCTCACCTGGACCCACCTGAAGCACGAGCAGGAAATGAATAACTTTACTAACATTACACTCACACAGAGCAGCTTATTTCCTGTGCTTCTCAGTTTACCTCGATCATGTAGAGCAGCGCCAGCTCAGTGGGAACACCTCCATTGCAGAAAACCTGAACCCAATTCCTCTGACCTCCTAAAAACAAGTAATTCACATTTAATTCAAACTGTTCCAGGACAACTGTTTAAGCAGCCCAGGTAAAAGGCGGTGGGTCAAGGGGAGTCACTAATCAGATGCTTCGTTTTTTTTTCTCAGCCACAGATCATTTAAAAAACAAACTCGTCACATTGGCCCATTAAAAAAGCAATAAATAAACATATTTAGTATAATAATGTAAAATATGTTATTAGTTTATTTAAATTTCATATGAATAAACTTAATATGCAAAATAATTAAATTTAAAGTTACATTTTCACCACTAGATGCCAGCAGATTACAGATTATGGTCAACAGAGGTCTATTTCCTAACCCCTCCCAATTAAATAGAGA